GACTCCTCGTGCTTGTCACGCACGCCGGAGCCTCTTCTCAGAATGTTAATACGGAACCCATTGAATGCCCGAGCCGAAGTGTTCGATGAATATCAAATATGGCCGTGTGTACAATTTTCTTTTAACCCTAACATCCCATTCTAAATTTTGGGGTATTCGCTGGTAGTGTTGGTTTAAAATAAAATAATCTAATGGTCAGTTGTGAGGTGGAAATAAACTTTTTGGTTTCATTTCCGTATTTTAACATTGACTTAACATCGAAAAGCGTTAAAAGTATCATGAAACGTTTTCGGTGCTGATTCTTATTTACGTATCTGTGTTCACGCGCTTTTAAGCCCTCAATCTAAATGTTTTTCATATATGTACTCGTGGTGTGATATCATTATGTTAATATAATAATGATATTTGTTCACTTCAAACACTGTTATTTCTATGCCTACCACGCACTCCATGCTTAAAATAACATCATTCGAAAATACTTCTTTAAATTCAAAATTCGGCTTTGCGATGAGTAGGTCTTCCTTAATTACCCATCAATTTTCCTTCCATAAATATCAGTCCTTCCATCCGTGGGTATTGGCACATTTACATTACCTCGGGAAATTAAATTTGTCAGTTTCACATGCACATAACTATTATATAAACATTCAAATGCGTTTGTAATGCAAACATTAAACAGGTAGCATATGAAAGATCAACGTATGTCGTCTCTGCATATTTTCGGTGGTGGAATATGCGTTTTGCTGGTTTAATTAAATTCAATCATTGAATTTGATGTCGCCATTACTCGTGCTCGTTACTGCAGGCTCAAATGCGTATTTGAACAAGCTCTGCACAAAGTTTAGCTCCCGGATCCGCTTTCACAATAGCAGAGAGCCGGGGCGTTGTTCGCGAGAGGCGAGCCGCCGCCGCCGCCGCCAGATGTAAACAGACGGCCGTGTCCTTGCCCGAAGGTCACCGGCGCCCCGCAGCCTGGCTGTTAGCAGCGCAGCCATCGTCGTCGCCATCGACAATGGTTGCCACCAACAATACCGCCGTCTTCACCGCCGCCGCAGCCGCCACCACCGCCACGTTTTAAGGTATGTAGTGGAGTGTTTTAGACTGTCGAGTAGTCACCTGGTTTAGCGGTGGGGAGACAAGAACAGAGCGGGGTGAGTATTTGGGAGCAGTTGGGTGTAATAGTGTATGTCGGGGACTGGTTGTTTGCGATATGTATACATCCACCGAGAGTAGTGGCGCAATGCCGAGATACTGGTGAGTTTATCTTTGATTTTTTCGTTCTGCTAGAATCTTAGAACGTCGTTGGATTGATTTGCGTGAATGTTCTTAGGTAACCCTAGAAGTCTTAGTCTGAGTACGGTTGGGTTAGGCGTTGTGCGATGAGGAGCTGCGCGGTCGTGGAGGTTTATGTGTGTAGGGTATATGGGCTACTTTCCTCCCTCTAAGGGACGTGGAGGTTTTATCTTATAAATGGTTGTATACATTCTTCTCTTTCACTCCTAATGTCTCTTTTGTTTTCTGTGTCCTTCTGAATCTTGGTTCGCGGTTTTTATAGTATTGCGTGATTTAAGTTATAGTTTGCTCGTGTTAACTTTTAAGTCTCTTTAATTTTTTTGCCTTTTTTATAGCGTTGTGTTCACGTGCTTATATATTATTTTTTGTTCTTAGATTGTATCCATGCAGGGATTTTATATGTTGGTATATGATTTGTGTATATGAGCTCGTGATATATCTGTCATAGTCGTAGTGCGGTATAAGACCTCTGTCGGGTGGGCAGGTCGGGCGCGTGCTCGTGTGGCGTCTTGGGCTGGCGACGTTTTGGCTTGCCTGAGAGGAACTCTCCCGACGGGCCGCGGAGCATTGCGAAGCTTTTGCTGAAACCGGAATAGGATCACTACGCCTGGATGCGCTAGTTGGAAAGTCGCTATAGAACATCAACAGATAAACTAGAAAAATGCACGAGTTGCAGCTGCTGAGACGATTCGACAAAGCCCGATGACTGTCTTCCCGTGCCCTTTTTTCGCTTCTTTGTTCTTTCTCATCGTCTCCTTGTTCGTACTTTTGCTTTCTTTGGGATTGATTTTTGCCGGTTCTTTTGCCACATTCTTTATTCCTTTCTTTATTAGCTCGGTATCTGTACTCTCGGCTCTTTTTCTATATATCCATTTGGGTCTTTCCTTTTTTCACTCTATCTATGACTACGCTTAATTTTCCTTCTTTTATTTTTCCTTTTTGTCCTTTTTTTGCCTTTTTGTTTCTGTTCCTTTTTTCCTGTTTTTTTCTGTTGGTGTCTTTTTCCTTTTTCCCGTG